ACTCTCTATCCCTCTCCCTTCCTCTCTGTAAAAAATCAATAAAATATATTTTTTTAAAAAATAAATAAATAAATAGTATTATACTTCTGCACTTTGTTTTTTCTCATTCAACCTCTGTATTCATTTTTACTATTGTTAGCATTCTATTATGTCAATACATAACAATTTAATTACCCATTCTTTAGTAGATATACATTTGGGTTGTTTACAGTTTATTCTATTACCAAAATGCTGCCAAGAACATTTTTTGTCTATGTATCCTGTTATGCATGTGCAAAAATCTCTCTTAGACTAGAGTATGTACCTAGGAAAAAAATTGCTGGGTTATAGGATATTCACATTTTCAACTCTAATGGTTAATGCATAATTATTTTCCAAAGTGATTGTAAAAATGTAAACTCTTGCATGCGGTGTGTAACACTTCCTATTTCTTCACACATTTACCAATGTTTAGTTGTGTATTCCTTTTTAATCAGAAAAAACAATGGCGTAAACTTATACCTTATAGGAAAAATCAGTCTTAGAGCTTTCCATTATATGAGTGGTGTAAGTGTTCCCAATGATATATGATTGTTATGTCCTTACAGATATGCCAACAGTAGCCTCATAAAGTACATGGAAAAACACAAGGTCAAGCCTGACAGCAAAGTGTTCCTCTTGGTATGTGCATCTCCCCCAGATTGGGAAGTCAGAACCTTAGTGCAGCTCTCACCTCATCCCATTTCCCATGGAATTGTCCCAGCTGTTCCTTCTCTTTAGAAGGGAAAGAAATCAGTGGATGCTGGGGCAAATTAAATATTTTTCTTTGGAGGTGTTATCCGTGACTTTTAGCCTTATTTTCCCCCCAATAATTTTATCAGCAGAAAAAGAATTAAATTCTGTAACTGCTTTAATGCTAATGATTTTTGCCAATTCCACATAAATGTGTATAGTGTGCTAATCATGCAGTAAGTGAGCTGTACAAAATGGCATTTGATATTAATCCTGTTAGACAGTAATTTAAAAGTCAAAACTGACTTGTAAACAACTTTTTCACGTGTTATCAATCCCTAGCTTCAGAAACTCCTAACTATGGATCCAACTAAGAGAATCACCTCAGAACAAGCTCTGCAGGATCCCTATTTCCAGGAGGACCCCTTGCCAACCTTGGAGTATGTATCCTACCTTTTCTGTGTCCTTTGCTCCAGGTTGAGGGTGTCGGGTAGTGGCTGAAAGCAAGAGAGCACTTATCTTGAAGTATTTTACTTTCTTCATTAATGCTACTTTGGAGAAAAAGTACTCACGAGAAAGGTCTTGTATTTTGAAGGAAGCAAAGCTGTAGAGAGGTGTGAATGAAAAGAAGTATTTTAGGAATGACGATTCATCAGTTTTACAGGTAAAAACAAATGGGACAGATGGGACTTTTATAGAAGGTCAGTCAGAACAGTTTAAACGGAACCAGTGGGGAACTGAGAAGTTAAAATTCAGTGTGTCTCCATCCTTGGTTATACCCACGTATATCGTTGTGATTAGGTTTGTTAGAGGTGCAGCTTTTCTTAGAAGAACAGTTATTTTCTTTGTTGAAGCAAATACAAATTCAGTTACTATTAGTGCCAATGAAGTTTGTGTGGAGAAATTCTGTCATATATGTCAACTCCCTAACAGCAGCTAAGATTTGGTATTGAACATGGCAATGTGTAAAATTAAGACAACGAATTGTTCTTTAATGCTTAAATTAAGTTGTGATGGGAAACATCCGACAAGCACCAATCACAGATGAAGAATAGGAAATACGTTGAGAAAAAAGTGGAATTTTAAATTAACAAGGTCAGTGATATCATAGCTTTTCGGTCATGACATTTCTTTCTTTGTAATGATTTTTAGTGTGTTTGCTGGCTGCCAGATTCCATACCCCAAACGAGAATTCCTAAATGAAGATGAACCTGAAGAGAAAGGTGATAAGGTATGAACTGCACAGTACATTTTCACTTCCAGAGAGTAAGGAGGCAAAAAGAGAACATAGGGAATATAATTTAATAATCCCTATGTATTTAACCACCTTTTATTTAGTTAAACCTGTATTTTATGTAGGCGTGCTTTGAAATTTGAAATGTAATAAGCTTACAGATGGATGACCTTCCTGATTTGTTTTATAGCCTACTAGAGGCCCGGTACATAAATTCGGGGTGGGGAGGCTGATCGGGGGTGGAACGGGGCGGGGAGGGGGGAGGAGGAGGGCCCAAGGGCAGTTGGTCAGCTGGCCCCGCCCCCTGGTCAAACTCCCTGTTGAGGGGACAGTTTGCATATTGGGCTTTTATTATATAGGATTTTATTCCCTGACTCTTCATTCTTGCTTTTTGTTTGTTCAGCATTATTACCATCACCTTATACAGGCTGCTTTTCAAAGCATCATTCTGTTCTTGATATACTTGGAGATATAAGGCCCTTCCCACACCCCTGTACCTGAAAATTACTCTCGAAAGACTATTAGAGCTGTTTTAATGAGGGCAGAACTATTTCCTATGTGCCTTTGGTCTTCAGTGGGATGTCTGTGTCTGGTTGGAGGATTACTATGCAATTGAATGGACTTCAGAGAATGAGTCCCATTCAGGGCCCAGCACGTTGACCTTTGGGGATGCTGTAGTCCTTGGCTGCTCCATTTTCCAGCCATTCCAGCCACTTTGGTGTCCCACATAGGTCGCCCTGCAGGTTGGCTCAGCACATCAAGTATTGAAAGACATTTCCTGTTAATTTAGTTCCATACCAAGCTTGCTTTTTTTCCCTTCCAAGAATCAGCAACAGCAACAGAACCAACATCAGCAGCCCACGGTCCCTCCAGCACAGACAGCAGCCCCTCCGCAGGCGCCCCCTCAGCAGCAGAGCAGCACCCAGACCAACGGGACTGCAGGAGGGGCCGGGGCCGGGGCCGGGGCCGGGGGCACTGCAGCAGGGCTGCAGCACAGTCAGGACTCCGGCCTCAACCAGGTGCCTCCCAGCAAGAAGCCACGGCTGGGGCCTTCAGGCGCAAACTCAGGCGGGCCTGTCATGCCGTCAGATTATCAGGTATTCCCCTGAATTTTGTACTTTTAATGTTTATACATTTTATTAAATCAATGCTTTTAGAATTAAGTAGCACTTAACTCTAAAGTTTGTACAAATTGTACAATCCTGTTTCTAGGGCATTATGAAAATGAATATCTTTGTTGTATTTTGTGTAATTGCAAGATATTTCTCTTTTGACTTGTTTATCCTGACACCCCAAAGAGGGAAGCTGAGGCAGGCCCCTTCCTCCTCAAAAAAATTTCTTCTTTTGCACATACAGCTGCCTTTCAGCTTTGGACCAGAAAAAGATCCCTAGATAAGCAATTGAAAAGGGAGAAGAGTGGTAGCATATTTTGGACAAAATAGTATATACCAGAAAGATTTGCTGTCACTGGAAGAAAATAGTAAATAGCCACATAAACATAGAAAAGGATTAAAATTGAAATTTCTCAGAAATAACCATTAAATCTCACTAGAAATAATTTTGAGACTAGAAAATACTTTTTGCTAAAAGTACTTTGATAAAAAGAGAACTATAATTGTAATACAAATTCTGGAAGTGAAAGAAAAATTAAAGGTTTGGTATTTGGGAAGAGAGTTAAAAATACTTGTGAAAACTGCAGGAATCTTGCAAAAAAGAAGCCACCTTGTTTTCAAGGTAGCAACAAGCTAAGAAAAGGTCTAAGAAAATGAGAAGAAAAACTTAAATGAAAGGTAGAAAGAAAAAAGGTATAGAACCATGTCCCTTGGGAAATTGGTGGAGGAGGAGCAGTCAGGTTAGAGATAATAGAAAACAAAACCACAGCAAGGGAGCCATAAACTCACTGGTAAGGAACTAGAATTAAGAAAAACATTAACAGGAAAGATATAATAAGTAGCTGCCTAAACAGGCTTTCCATTTTGAGCATCTTACAAAATGAAATGTATTTTCTCGCACAACTGCGTCTCTGAAAACCTCTCTTGGAAGATTCCCTGCAAGCAGAGGGGATAGAACAGCACTGCCATTTGGTTCCAGTTAAACTAGTCAAGGTTACCGTTTGATCCTCTAAAAACAGCAGGTCATGAACCTCTTTGAATTTTCTCATAAATTCAGATTTCCCCCCCTAACATTGGTTTATTCTTATCATATGAGCAATAAACCTTTACTATATACTGGCTTATCTTTGTGTCTCTGGTTGTATTTGTTAAGGTAAGAAACATTTAAACCTGTAAAAAAAAAATTGTGAGTTTATTTGAGCCAAACTGTCAACAATTGCTGGGAAGCAGAATCTCCGGAGAATGGCGGTTTTTCACCTAGTTTTATAAATTACCATCAAAGGAGGATATGAAATCTGCTGGTGATAGATTAGAGGTGGGAGATAGCAAAGCGGGGAAACTTCTGGGATTGGGTAAAAAGTAAAATGATAGACACATGCTTCTTTTACATAGGTGGGTACAGGATAGTTATCAATCAACAATTAACATGATAACAGTAACAATGAGGGAATTTGTGGTCTCCATCCTGGCACTTTGGTTTTGCCCTGAGGGGTGGGGGTGGGTGGGAACTTGCAAGGTACCTTGATAATCCAAAGGTATGTTATCATAGATGCAAAAAGACAGTAGGCTCAGTTAAGATAAAAGTTGATCTTTGTCAGGGAAGATACTGGCCTAAGACAAGATTATCCACAATAGACTGCTTTTTAATTTAAAAAGTTTTAATTTCAGACCATCCTTTGTGGTTACTTTAGGTCTCTGAGTTTGCAAGGCCGCCACACAGGCCTTCCCTGAGTTAGGTTAGCATGTGGCCCCTTTTTGCCTACATATTATAATAACCTGGTTATAGACAATTGTGAACAGATTACTTTAAAAATTGTTTTTAATTTATTTATTAATTTTAGAGAAAAAGTGAGAGAGAGAAACATCGATTTGTTATTCCACTTATTTATATATTCATTGGTTGATTCTTGTGCATGCCTTGACTGGGGATCAAACCCGCAACCTTGGTGTATTGAAATGATGCTCCAACCAACTGAGCTACCTGGTCAGGATCTTAATTACTGTTTTTATTCCTTTCAAACTGAAGAGCTCTTCAAAATCTTTTTCTTTGTCCATCTTGTGCTATTTACTTAAAAACAAAACAGCATCTTTATAAAATGGGTAGATATCTCAGCTATTTAGTTGGATAGACTAGCACGAGGAGGGGCAGTCCCTTTGCATCTATTTGCAACTCTAACATCATCAATGTGTTTGTGCTTTATCTGGTACGGAAAATCCAGTGTGTGTGTCCAGTCTGCTCAAGTGAAAGTGGTCTTGGCCAACCTAACAATTACAGGGCTTGTGAATGGAAAGAACATTTTTTCATAATAAACTTTCAAAATAAAACATAGTTAGAATGTGGAATTTTGGAAGGCTTCTTACACTGACACAACTAATCAGAATTATGTAACTTAGGAAGGATCCAGTCATTTGTGTTAACCAAGCCCATCTTACTGCCCTGTTGTCTTGGGCCAGATGTTCCAAGTCTAGTTTGGCAGCCTATGCACCTGAGGTGGGGACCTTGTTGATTTGTCCTTTCTTAACCCTAGTGCCACCTCAAAGTCATTTACATTTTAACTACAAATAATAGCTTTATTATGTATATTCTTTCCCACTTTGCTCAGAGGAAGAACTGGCCTTCTGAGCATAGCCAAAGACATTGGTCCCAGCTATTCTGTTTGACCAGGCACCATGTTTTTATTCTATTGACGAATTTTCCTTTCACATATTTTTTCATATGTGCCCTATGAAAATGAATGTTTCATTTAAAGTAATAAAGCCCTAACCGGTTTGGCTCAGTGGATAGAGCGTCGGCCTGCGGACTGAAGGGTCGAGGGTTTGGTTCCGGTCAAGGCTATGTACCTTGGTTGCAGGCACATCCCCAGTAGGGGGTGTGCAGGAGGCAGCTGATCGATGTTTCTAACTCTCTATCCCTCTTCCTTCCTCTCTGTAAAAAATCAATAAAATATATTTAAAAAATAAAATAAAATAAAGTAATAAAAACATTGGATTGAAATACATTTGTGTCTGCCTCCTCCTGCGGGCATTTTCATATATGAACATTGTTTTATTCTAAGTCAGACCTGAGGTTCATAAAGCCCACTCACTGCTGCCACGCCCGGCCCAGCTCTGCCTTGCTTCGTCCTGGCGGTGCTGCTGCTGCCCCCACTCTGGCCTCTACCTCTGAAAACTTTTTCTCTACAAATGATTTCTTAATCACAGCTTTGTTATTTATGAGAAAATTAACAGGCATCTGTAGATATTATGGATAATTTTGGCCGAATGTGCCAAATTAATGATTCTTGTTTGTAAATCTCACTTATGCAAAGAATGACTAACCAGAATTAGTCAGTACCGAGAGCAGTGGACAACATAAGTTTCCCCACTGCCTTGTGTGCGTGTGCCAGTGTAGCTCATCTCCCAAAGAACTCCAGCCAGACGTGTGGTTATAGTGGTGGCAGGCTATGATTTTCCATCAACAAAATGTATTAACAAACTAAGCTGGATCTGATCCAGGAGCCTCTAATGAGCGGCTCACTTCTCCATTCCGTTGTGGTGATCATCTCTTCTTTCATCAGTAACTCCCTTCTCCTGTTTCCTTCTCCTAGCACTCCAGTTCTCGCCTGAATTACCAAAGCAGTGTTCAGGGATCCTCGCAGTCCCAGAGCACACTAGGCTACTCCTCCTCATCTCAGCAGAGCACCCAGTACCACCCATCTCACCAGGCCCATCGGTACTGACTCCCGCAGCCCAGAGCAGACTCCAGCAATATGATGTCCGCATTGAAGAGAACCAAAAATGCAAAAACTGTGATGCCATGTAAAACTTACCCATGTGGGAGGAAGACTGTATTCTGAGCATCTTGCAGGACTGATGTCTCTTCTCTATTGACTTACAGAAGATTTTTGTGAAGTTTCCCCAGCACCCTTTCCCTGCATGTGTTCATCGTGACTTCTCTGATCGGGCGTCTGATCCAATCCCAGCACTTACCTTCTGTGACCTTCAGCATTCTTTTGAAGGATTTCCTGGTGCACCTTTCTCGTGCTGTAGCAATCACTATGATTTATCTTTTCAAAGCTCTTTTAATAGGATTTTAATGTTCTAGAATCAGGACTCCAGTGGTGTAAAGTTTTATACTTCATCAGCTAACCTAGCAACACAGGTAAAAACGTACCTTTTAAAGCACTACGTTGTTTTCACAAAATAGAACTGTTTTGCTCATGGAAGTCTTAAACAGAAATTGTTACTGTCCCAAAGTACTTTACTATTATGTTTTTATTTATCTAGTTTCAGGGAAGGTCTAATAAAAAGACAAGTGGTGGGACAGAGGGAGCCTACAACCAAAAACAGCCTACATCTTCGCAGTTAGTATGCTTCATGCAATGAAGCACCGAAGTGTGTGATGGTTTTTATGTAATCATTTACATGGAACTTAGTTCCCAGAATCATCTTATCCTGAACAGTAGTCAGTAATGAAGAATTATAAATTTAACTTCCTGTAGCTAAGTCTGCGTTAAAAGGGTTTTGAGAGCTTTGATGAAATGCAGTCCTCTGGTGACCCGCACCAGAGAGCTGAAGAGAACATTAACTGCACTAGGATTCTTTAAGGAGCAATGCTGATCAGAGGATGTATTACTTTCCTTTGAAGGAAAAGCTTCTAGTGTGTATTGTACATAAAGTTGGCTTCTCTAAAGAGCTGTTGGTTTCTTCACATGTGGGCCATCTTGAGTAACTTTCTTACATAATCAAGGGTACTCGACAGAAGCCTGCCAATGAATCTGCTTTTAAAATAAAGAGCAGTGTTCTCCATTCGTATTTGCATTAGATATAGAGTGACTATTTTTAAGGCATGTTAAAAATTTAGGTTTTATTCATGTTTAAAGTATGTATTATGTATGCATAATTTTGCTGTTGTTACTGAAACATAATTCTATCAAGAATCTTTTCATTGCACTGAATACTTTCTTTTGCCCCTAGGGGAAAACTAATAATTGTGCCTAAAAAACTATGGGCAGATAGTATACAACTAAACTAGATAAAGTGCATATTTGCATTTCCATGATCTATGAATTAGAGGCCGAGTTCTTTCTCAGTCAGTGTAAAGAACCCCTCACTCCCCAGAGTCACAAAGAAATGTAGACTTAGAGCTCTCGTTGTAATGTAAGGGACAGGACATTTGTGTTCTCTGAATGCTACTAGCAGCACCAGCCTTGTTTTAAACGTTTTCTTAGCTAGAAGAAATAGCTGATTGTTGTATATGCAAGTTATAAGCATTTTTTTACTATTCTTTATGAACTTATCTACCTGGTTATATACTCTGGGTCCATACACAAGTAACATAAGACTTTAGACAGAAGCCAGTATATATTTTGCACTATTGATGTGATCCTGTAGCCAGCAAGGACCTTACTGATTTCAGCATAATAATGCTTATTAATAATAAAGACTATATAGTGATGCTCACCAACACTGACACAGTTGCATGCATGCTCCATTGGAAGGAATTTCTGATTGTCTCTATGGTAATTTACCCCTTCCGTTTTCAAAATGAAAAATTAATAGCCCTCTGCCTAATGTAGCTACATATATAAGGTTCTGTCCTGTGCCTGAAGCCTCACTGTCCAGAGTTATTGGTCCTCAGATGCTCCCTGCACCCTCACCGTGTACCCAGTGCTGTGCTGGATGGAAGATACAAAGGACAAGACGTACTAGCTGGCCCTTAAGGAGCTTATGTTCCATTCCATGAAAGGGAGCTCTTCTGGGATGGTTGGCTTATGAGGGAAACCATCTTAGAATGTGAAGGTCCTTTTGTTCACTTCTAAACCCACTTGGATGGAGTCACTATTCCAAATTCTGCTCCACGATAAACTGTCATGGAGAAGTTTCTATGTGTAGTTACCTTTGAGAACGCCAGCAATTCAGTATCACAGCAGGCATTCATGTACATTTGAAATGTTCACAGCAGCCTTTCAATATTGGGTGGCTCTTGGTAGACAGAACACTATTAAGTAGCTGTAGGAAATTAGAATGAAAATAGAAGCTCTGTCCTGCCCTCAAGGGGACCTTACGTTTAATGAAAGACATACCCAAGTATGTGCATGAACCAAAATGCCATGTCCCTTCATACTTTATACGCAACTTTGAAATACAGTTCTTGTCATATGTGCTTATAGGATCATAGGACTACCTAGCATTCCTGGTGTGTGGTGAATTTTACTGGCAGAACTGGTGGAGAAGCTGTAAGGGGATTTCATCAGTTGTTCCCAGTACGATGTTCTCCAGAATCGAGCCAGATATCCCCATTCCACACAGGACCGGGTTTCTGGTCATTGCACTGGCCCTGGCCCTTTCCTCCTGTGGTCCTGCCTCAGAGTTGGTGATGCCCGTTATCTTTTAAGATAATTTTGATTTGTAATTTCTGTCTCCCTGTAAAGGGGCACAAAGCCTTGAACACATTTATGGTCCCTAAAATTGTGGGACCTCAAAGGAGAACTATGAAGCTTTTTAAGGTTCAAATTTACCTTTGTAGTCCCCAAATGACCACATTCCTCTTTGAAAATTTATTACTGTCATGTCCCCGAGAATGCAGGGGGAAATTCCTCAGCATATGGGAACACCTAAACCAGGGAAGGTCACAGGAAAGAAGGAATCGACATGAAGGTGCTCTGCTCCCCATATTACAAATCAATTTGAGGTAGCTTTCTGGTGAGGTGTGTGTTTGGAAAAAGGGATTTCAGGGCAGCTGAGCTCAAGGGTAAGGTTGCCTGGTGGCAGGACTGACACTAAGAGGCTGAAGCAATCCTTGTGAGGAAACAGATCATGCAGTAACATACAAAAACCAAGGACATGTATATTTTTATATCTGTGTGGTTTTGAAACTTTAGTACTTAGAATTTTGGCCTTCTGCACTACTCTTTTGCTCTTATAAACAATTTACCTTTAAAAATGGAAAGGGACGGCATTTACATATGTGTTCACTGCCTCATTCCTGGTGAAGCAGCTGTTAGTTATATGCCTCTAAAACTATGCTGTTTTCTCTGCTAAAGAGAGAAAAAATAGTTGGACAATAAGACTTGCCACTTAGTCTGCTTGGAATAAATTTATGTAGCAGAAACTATATAATGAAGGAAGAAATGTATGAAAATTGCAAACCCCAACCTATCTATGGTGATATCTTTGCAGGAAATAGAGGAAGGCAGTGAAATGGCAGTGAGAGTAAAGGAGGCTTGAAGGATTCAAGTATAAGTAACGTTTTATATGAAGCATATTAGTTTAGGTCCCCATAATCTTAAAGAATATCATAAATATCATAAAGCAAAGTTCATTGGTTTAGGATTTTTAAAAAATGTGTTGTACCTAAGGCCATACTTACTCTTCTATGCTATCACTGCAAAGGCGTGATAAGTATGTATTATATGAAAAAAAAATCCTTAATGCACTGTTATCTCCTAAATATTTAGTAAATTAATACTATTTAATTTTTTTAAAGATTTGTCTGTGTAGACACTAAAGGTATTACACAAAATCTGGACTGAAGATGTCCTTTTTAACAACAATTTAAAATACTTTTTATATATGTTATGTAGTACATGCTTTCTTAAACTGCATAGTTTGTATTTCCCATAATTCCTATTTGTGAAGTGTGCTCGTCCTTGTCTCACTTCAGTCATTCCCTGCATGCATCCCTCTTTATGGCTATAGAGATGACTGTATGCTCTCCACACTCTGCTGCGAGGTGTCGCTCAGGGCGCTGCACCCAGCGAGGCCCGCCCTGGGGGTGCAGGACAAGCCGCCGCTTTGGAGCCGAGTGTCCCCCGCTTTTGAGTTGTCCTGGCCCCCTCCTTGAAATGACTGTTAAAACTAAAATAAATTACATTGCATTTATTTTATATTCTTGGTTGTAATAAAAATTTAATTGACTTTGTTTCTGTGTGGCTTCTTTAAGTATAAAAAACTCTTGTTATAAGTGTTGGTGTTGAGATTTGAATGGTGCGCCTAGAAGCTTTTCCGATCACACTTGTCCGGCAGCGATGCAGCCTCCCTGTGAGTGGCCACGTGGGGTTGTATTCAGGGTGTTTATGATGTCACAAAACCACAGAGGCAAGGCTTGCAATACCTCAGAAGCAAAATTACAGTCTTTAAAACATCTCCCCGGGAAATGTCCTATTTTTGAAAATGAAAATTAAAATGGTGTTTTAGAAGAAAACAGGCAGCATTTTGTGGGGAGAGTGGCGCTGGGAGTCTGTCCTTTTATAAGAACGCTCTGTTGTACCTGGCTTCCCCTTATGGTTTACGCGATGAGTCCTCTGAGGTTAATCCAAGGGTCAAAGGCATCGTGGAGTGAGTTGAATGGTTAAGTGACACACACACAATTTCCATTTCTATTTAAAATAGATATTGCACAGCCATAACCGGTTTGGCTCAGTGGATAGAGCGTCGGCCTGCGGACTGAAGGGTCCCAAGTTCGATTCCGGTCAAGGGCATGTACCTTGGTTGCGGGCACACCCCCAGTGGGGGGTGTGCAGGAGGCAGCTGATCAATGTTTCTCTCTCATCGATGTTTCTAACTCTATCCCTCTCCCTTCCTCTCTGTAAAAAAAATAAAATAGATATTGCACATATCTAACTGCTTCACTGCTTGGCACAGATTGGTTTTTCAAAACAGCTGCTCACTGGCACTGGGGGACGCGGAGCCACGGAGACACGGCCATTGCTATTTGCTCCGCCCTGGCGACTCCCTGAGACCCCGCCCTACTCAATTTACATTCCCATCCAAGCTGTGCCAGAGGCACAAGAGGAAACGCCTGCCTTTTACAAACTCTCGAATCCACTGAGCTGGTTTGGGCGGGATCATGAGGCACCAGACCCTACGGGGAGAGGCGGCACGGCCTTGCAGCGGTCGGAAAGCAAGGGAGACTCTGTCGAGCAGCTGCTCGCCGGCACTAGGGGACACGAAGTCCCGGAGTCCCAGAGAGGCAAGGAGCCACGGAGACGCCATTGCTATTTGCTCCGCCCAGGTGACTCTCTGAGACCCCGCCCTACTCAACTTACATCCCCATCCAAGCTGTGCCAGTGGCACAAAAAGACCCACCTGCACTTTTGCAGCCTAACCCAACAAATTGCAGACTTCAACTCCTCGCACCCATGGTAGACACACTCAAGAAGCAGACCCAGGAGAACCAAGATGGCGGCGTAAGGTACAGACCTGGAACCATGGGAAAGCTGGCCCAGTGGAAGCTCTACAACTGGAAGGAAAGAAAGAAGAGCACTGAGACTGAGTAGGATGTGCAGAGGCACCAAGTACAGAGCCCAACCCAGTAGGCTACAGATTTCAGCTCCTCACATCCGGGAGGGACGCACTCCGGGGGCGAGGTCGGGTTCGGGGGAGGCCGGGGCCGGGCCCGGCTGGGCCGACGATGTGGAACCGCTGTACCAACAGGCACACAAGCACGTCCACCGGTTCCAGTCTCCCGTGTGACACTGGGGGACGGCAGACGGGCAGTCTGTGCATTTGGTGGAGGGCGAAGTCCGAGCAGGCGTGCTGGATGTTCAGCCACCAGGAACGCCTGGAGATTTTGTCTGGCGGGGGGCTGCCTGGCAGGGGACAGAGTGCCAAACTTCGTGTTGCCCCCGTGAGGCCGGGACGGCCCCAGTGAGGCCGATATGGCCCCGGTGAGGTCGGGACGGCCCGGTGAGGTTGAAACGGCCCCGGTGAGGTAGGGTCAGCCCCGGTGAGGTCAGGACGGCCCCGGTGAGGTTGAAACGGCCCCAGTGAGGTCGAGATGGCCCTGGTGAGGCCCAAACGGCCCTGGTGAGGTTGAAACGGCCCCGGTGAGGTCGGGACAGCCCCGGTGAGGTCGGGATGGCCCTGGTGAGGTCAAAACTGCCCGGTGAGGTCGAGACAGCCCTAGTAAGACTGAAACGGCCCCAGTGAGGTCAGGACGGCCCTGGTGAGGTTGGGATGGCCCCAGTGAGGCCGCGATGGCCCCGGTGAGGTACAGCACCGGTGAGGTCAAGACGGCCCCGGTGAGGTCCGGACAGCCCGGAGGAGGTCGGGATGGCCCCGGTGAGGACAGGACGGCCCCGGTGTGGTCGGGACGGCCCCGGTAAGGTTGAAACAGCCCCGGTGACGTCGGGATGGCCCCGGTGAGGTTGGGATGTCCCCGGTGAGGTTGAGACGGCCCCGGTGAAGTCAGGACGGCCCCGGTGAGGCTGAAATGGCCCCAGTGAGGTTGGGACAGCCCCAGTGAGGTCAGGATGTCCCCTGTGAGGTTGGGATGGCCCCGGTGAGGCCGAGACGGCCCCGGTGAGGTCTGGACAGCCCCGGTGAGGTCGGAATGGCCCCGGTGAGGTTGAGATGGCACTGGTGAGGTCAAGACAGCCCCGGTGAGGTCGGGACGGCCCCAGTGAGGTTGGGACGGCCCTGGTGAGGTTGAAATGGATAATGGGGACCAGTATAGACTGATGAACAGGGGTAGATGCAGAGGCAAAGCAGCATTGAACAGACTGTCAAACTACAGTGGGAAGCCTGGGGAGGGTTTGGGGGGGGCAGTTAAGAGATCAACTGAAGGACTTATATGCATGCATATAAGAATAACCAATGGACACAAGATACTAGGGGATAGGGGAGGCCCGGGGAATGTCAAGGGGGGGAAAGAAGGAGACATATGTAATACTCTTTGTAATACTTCAAGAAATAAAAATTATTTAAAAAACAAAACAAAACATGGCATGACAGAAAGAACATGGGTTTTGGAGACAAACTTAGCCCTGAAACGCAGCTCTTCTACCTCTGAGCTGTGCGGCCTAGGGGAAGTTATTTAACCTCTCTGATTTTTTTTTAAAATTGATTTCAGAGAGGAAGGAAGAGGGAGAGAGATATAGAAACATCAATGATGAGAGAAAAATCATTGATTGCTGCTTCCTGCACATCCCCTGCTGGGGACTGAGCCCACAACTCGGGCATATGCACTGACCCGGGCAGTTGAACCGTGACCTCCTGGTTCATAGGTTGAAGCTCAACTACTGACCCACGCCGGCTGGGCGTGTGATCTTTTAATATCTATAAAATGTCAAAAATAGCATCTACTTTTTAGAGTTTAAGGATTAAATGAGATAATATGTGGTGTGTCTTAGCAGAGTGCCTGGCCCATAAAATACTCTCAATAAATGTGGATTCCACTGGGTTTTCTCTTTCCTCTGCAATTTCAATGTGGTCGAATGTGTGCTTCTAGTATTAACAAGAGGTTTACCTCCTTCATTTGATGATCTCTCTCTCTCTCTTTTTGTTGTTAATCCTCACCCAAGGATATTTTTCCATTGATTTTTAGAGAGAGTGGAAGGGAAGGGGGGAGAGACAGAGAGAGAAAAACATGGATGTGAGAGAGACACATCAAATGGTTGCCTCCTGCACATGCCCCGACTAGGGCTGGGGATTGAGCCGGCAACTGAGGTACATGCCCTTGAACGGAATCAAACAGACTGAAGCTCTATCCACTGAGTAAGCTGGCTACGGCTGATCTCTCTGTTGACAGAAGATGACATCTACATCTGTGCAACTACTAGGTGAGCCATTTGAAGGCCACCACCCTTCAAGCCAGGGAGCACTCTTACAGGCGCCGAGGGCTATGTAACAGGCACCAGGGTTCAACTTCTTTAATGAAATGCTATAAAAAAAAATGAGGGACTCTTTTTGGTGGCACCACCCATCACCTCTTTTTTGTTCTACCCCAACAAGAAGTTCATTAAATTGTGTTTCCACACCATTTATGGCTGTAGTTATACCAACAAGAACAACTACCACTTTCGGGCATGCAATTGCAACATGAAGTAGAAGCCACCTACCTAGTTTGGATCCAAAGAGAACATAATTCCTCCATTTCCCCACTGTGGCTCTCATAAATTACCATCTGTGCTTCCAACTCAGAGTGATCAGATCTCATAAAGTCATGGTCCAGAGATTTGCAAAACTCCTCAGCTACGAAATGCTTTTGTGCCATTCATATGCGAAAGATTGCCAGGAACAAAAACAACTCCTCAACTTTGCCTCTTAGCCCTTATCTGCCAGGTTTGGAAGGTCTGGCCCATTAACAGGAGACGAGGGAAGAGAGAAAGGAGATCCTCTCTGTGCGAGTGGGCAGCGTGAGGGGTCCCACTGATCAGAGCAGCCCTCTGTGGGTGAGTCTGGCGGTTCCAGGACTCCAGTCTGCTGGGGAGTGTGCCATGGTGGAAAGGCCTGATGGAGTTGGAGCAGTCTGGGCCCAAATTCAAACCAATAAAACAAAGTTCCCTTCCAGAAAGTCCTGCACTTGGGAGAAAGTGCTGGAAGCGTCATTTAAACTGAGCAAGACATGGGCCGCAAGGCCAAAGGAATGAGAAGGTCCCAGTGAAAACGGGAGGGAGCAGAAGAGGTGGGTCCACAACACTCAAAGGGCATACAGTGGGGCCTTGACTTACGAGTGTCCCGACTAACGAGTTTTTTGAGATACCAGCTGTCTCTTGGCCGATTTTATGCATTGAGTTGATAGAGTAATTTGAGTTAATGAGCTCCTTAACGAGCTCCTTAACGAGCTCGGTCTCGGAACGAATTAAACTCGTAAGTCAAGGCCCCACTGTATTACCCCTCACATATCTGTAGAAACATATTATATTAAGCTTTTTAAATCATGAACATTATCACTCTACCCATATATCTAAAAATTCCGCCCCCCCCCAAAAAACCCACTTGATTTTCCAATGGCTTAAAAATTCTACGCATTTTTTCTGCTTACGAAAGGAATAGATTTATATTTGCTTCTCCACCCACACTATGTATATGGAAAGCTCTTTTGGCACGAACAAGGAGCTTAGCATTGATTGTAATATATGTGCATATATAGTTTTCATATATAATTCCTTATTTGCAATTCATGAGAATTTTCATATG